CCCCCCCCCCCCGGTGCCCCTGTCTTCTTCCCTGCAAAGCCGGGGGGAGGGGGAGTTAGGTTTTGTGCAGCATTCTTTCCAGAGTTGCTACCCAGAGTGCACAAATGCAGCTGCCTGGCATTAATCGAGAGACAAAATACCTTGATGGGGGCACAGTTGTATCTTTTGTGAGGATGCAGCCCACAGGCCAACTTTTACATGATGCCTCAGAGTATCTAAAATGAAACTGAACCTATCGGATGTACTGTATCCTTAGAGGTGAGAAGTGAAATCTGGAATAGCAAACACGAAACTAGAACGATGACCTGATAACTTTGTAATCTTAAAAATAAACATCACTTTTTTCTGATTTCAGTCATTCTTATTTTGTAAGATGACCCTACAGTCCACCTGTTTGTAACTTTTTTAATAAAATAGATATCTGTATTACCAAAGCTGGATCATGGCTGTCTTTCCTGGTATGGATGTGCAAGTGAGGGGATGACTTTGGGGCTGTATGTCATAGTTCTACAAGAGCCAGAATATACTAGTATTAGGCATGGGCTCAGCTGCTTTCTTTAAACTACTCATGGTCTTATTTATTTAAAACCATTTCCATACCATTTCATAGCCATAAGGCCTTCAAGATGGTGTACAAAGTTAAAATACACAAACAGATGCTGAAAGGCAGGAACTGTAAGAATTGTTAAAGCAAATAAAACTGAAATAACATATACTTCAACAGCAAAACAAAGCCATTGTTTCAGACAGAAAACAAGAGCCCACTACTTGCCAAAAAAACCCACACACCATTACATTCCCGGTGCCTGAGTAAAGAACGCTTCCACGTGGCAACTAACACTTAGCAAGGAAAGTAATAGAGGTTAAGAACCAAGATGCCAGCACAGCAGACATTGTTTGCAGTGGATGGAGGCTCATGCAAGCCCTTTAAGCACTTGGTGCTTAGGTAGTCTTGTAGGTCCCTTGGTCCACTTGCAGCTGGCTGTTTTCAAAACAAAAAGGTGACCAATTAAGTTATTTTGAAACTGGGACAAGGTATTCCATTGCAGGTACACGAGTTAGCCATGAGGAGCCTTCTATGACGTTTGAAGTTGGCTGCCAAAGATATGCCAGAAGCTCCATAGGTGGTGCCTGCTGAAATTTCAGACACTAGAGGGCTGGCTGATTAAATTTTCCAGTGGCCAAGGATGATGCAGTGGTGCCGTACATGTCTCCTTGTTGCAAACAGCAAGTGCAGACAAAACATTTCAAATATATATATTTCCCCACCCTCAGTGCTGTTTCTGAGATGGATCACAAGCTTCCATTAACATATTGCAGTTCTAATAAAAACCGGAGGATGTTGTGAAAAGCACACTCACATGGCACTCTAAAACCTCAACTTAAAAAGCAGCAGAAGCATCAGTGCATAATAAACAACCGTAACTGTTTTAGCATAAAACTGTTAGCATAAAAATAGCAGCAGAAATAAAAAGGGAGTAAAGATTTTGAAATGTTAAATCATTAAGAGAGTTAGGATGATTAAATGCTGTGAGATATTGAGGTCGCTCATGACAAGAAACCAGCAGTAGTACTGAACACCTCTGTACCCAGGAAAGCAATCCGGGGAAGAGTTTCAGAGCTGTGGTGCCACTGCAGAAAAGAACCCATTTCTTGTGAGCACCCATATTTCAGAAAGTGGGGAATCGTGTTCCGATTTGTACTGGGGAAAGTGATCCTTTAAATACTCTGGTCCCAGCCTGTTATGGGCTTTTCTATGCAAAAAAAGTGTGTGACTTTACATTATGGGTACAGGTTATAGAGACCCGAGTGTGCCGCATGACGGAGTGAGCTCCTGTCTCTAGTTCCAGCTCCTGCCAACCTAGCAGTTCGAAAGCAAGAAATTGCAAGTAGATAAATAGATACCACTTCAGTGGGAAGGTAACACCGTTCCGTGCGCCTTGGTGTTTAGTCATGCCGGCCACATGACCATGGAAACGTCTTCGGACAGCGCTGGCTCTTCGGCTTTGAAACGGAGATGAGCACCACAACCCTAGAGTCGGATTCGACTGGCTTTCGCGCAAGGGAACCTTTACCTTTACTTTTTACAGGTTATAGAATTTTTTGGTCCTTGGTGCAGAATTTGGATGGCCTTTCATTTTTAAAGCACGGGATACATTTTATTCATTTGAGAGGTTTTTAGACCATTTTTCCTCTGCAATGTAAGCAAAGCTTCTCACAGATTTGTTATAACAATAAAACCAAGGAACAAACCAAAACTAAGCAGTGTGCAGAATCTTTTTTTTAAGTAGATAGAATCAATCATGCAGGCAGGGCAGCGATAAGGAGTTCAACCGAAAAGCTACATCCCCAAGTGCCAAAGAACTAGGAGAGAGCATGCAAAGCAAAATTCCTTCAGGAGGGTATTCCTTGCAGCGCCAATGTACACAAGGCCCATTTATTTATTTAAGTTAGGCAACCTTTAAGCTAAAACCCAGTGCGTTGTCTCCCAGTGCTGAGGTAACGTTATAAAGGTAAGAAACATGGTGTGTTTCCCCCTTTAAAATGGTAGTAGTCTGAGCCCTGACCTGGATAGGCCAGGCCAGCCCAGCCCAATATTGTCAGCTCTTGGAAGCTGAGCAGAGCAGACCCTGGGAAGTTTTTGAAAGGGTGACCACCAAGGAATACCAGGGCCAGGAAAGTACCCTAGCCCCACTAGAGGTTGCCAGAAGTCACCATGACTTCCAGGCTTGTAAGCACATGCATGCACGTACTCACACACGCAAGTTAGTAGTCTGACGAGCCCAATTTTAATTAGCAGAATTGAATTAAGTTCTATGGTTAAGGTAAAGGTAAAGGTTCCCTTGCTCGAAAGCCAGTCGAATCCGACTCTAGGGTTGCGGTGCTCATCTCCGTTTCAAAGCCGAAGAGCCAGCACTGTCCGAAGATGTTTCTGTGGTCATGTGGCCGGCATGACTAAACACCACGGCGCACGGAACGCTGTTACCTTCCCACCGAAGTGGTACCTATTTATCTACTTGCAATTTCTTGCTTTCGAACTGCTAGGTTGGCAGGAGCTGGAACTAGAGGCGGGAGCTCACTCCGTCTTGCAGCACCCGGGTCTCGAACTGCTGAACTACCGACCT